CCCAAACACTTGCCACAAAGTTGGAAGCACAAAATCGTCTAAAATGCCATTGTATGCTGTAGCGTTAAGATTTCCCGTCACTGGAACTAAGGGACCTAGCCCTAACCATGAAAAACAGCCCCAGACCATTATTCCTCCTCCACCAAACTTTACAGTTGGCACTATGCATTCAGGAAGGTAGCGTTCTCCTGGAATCCGCCAAACCCAGATTCGTCCGTCGGACTGCCAGATGGTGAAGCGTGATTCATCACTCCAGAGAACTTGTTTCCACTGCCCAGAGTCCAATGGCAGCAAGCTTTACACAACTCCAGCCGACGCTTGGCATTGCGCTTGGCTGCTCAGCCATGGAAACCCATTTCATGAAGCTCCCGACGAACAGTTATTGTGATGATATTGCTTCCAGAGGAAGTTTGGAACTTGGTAGTGAGGACCAAGGACAGACGATTTTTACGCACTACGCGCTTCAGCACTCGGAGGTCCCGTTCTGTGAGCTTGTGTGGCCTACCACTTCGCGGCTGAGCCGTTGTTGCTCCTAGACGTTTCCACTTCACAATAACAGCACTTACAGTTGACCGGGGCATCTCTAGCAGGGCAGAAATTTGACGAACTGACTTGTTGGAAAGGTGGCATCCTATGACGTGCCACGTTGAAAGTCACTGAGCTCTTCAATACGGTCCATTCCACTGCCATTGTTTGTCTATGGAGATTGCATGGCGGTGTGCTCGATTTTATACACCTGTCAACAACGGGTGAGGCTGAAATAGCTGAATGCACTAATTTGAAGGGGTGTCCACATATATAAATAAAAGTAAATATACACTATATACACTACCGTTCAAAAGTTTGGGGTCACTTAGAAATGTCCTTGTTTTCGAAAGAAAAGCAATTTTTTTGTCCATAAAAAAAACATCAAATTAATCAGAAATACAGTGTATAGGTTGAGAGCTTTTGTGAAAGAGCACAGTTAGAAAGATATGGCATATAGAAGCAAACCGGATGGACATCATGAAAATTATTGGAGAGGTTGAGGGTAGAGTAAGTTCAGGAGTAAAAACAAACAAAATTGAATTATTGTAAAATTGACTGTCTGTAAAATGTATATAGTATGTATAAGCTGGAAGTAGAGGCCTAAGCATGGTTGTTCACTAGTTTACTCCAATTAGGGAAGGGGTGGTGGGGTTGGAAAGTAATAAAGGGAAATATATTTTTAAAAAGGATATGTATGTATCTATGTATATATATTTGCGAGAGAAAAAAAACATATGGGGGATTGGAAGTGATGCAGACAATTACATTGATGGAAATTAAAATCTATCTACAATATTTGAAAAACGTTCTGAAACTCGTCAGTCTATTCCTGTTCTGAGAAATGAAGGCTATTCCATGTGAGAAATTGCCAAGAAATTGAAGAAGTCGTACAACACTGTGTACTACTCCCTTCACAGAACAGCGCAAACTGGCTCTAACCAGAATAGAAAGAGGAGTGGGAGGCCCCAGTGCACAACTGAGCAAGAGGCACCTCACAGGTCTTCAACTGGCAGATTCATTAAATAGTACCCGCAAAACACCAGTCTCAACGTCAACAGTGAAGAGGCGACTCCGGGATGCTGACCTTCTAGGCAGAGTTGCAAAGAAAAAGCCATATCTCAGACTGGCCAATAAAAATAAAAGATTAAGATGGGCAAAAGAACACAGGCACTGGACTTTTTCTTTGTTTCTGGCCATTTTGATCCTGTAATCAAACCCACAATTGTTGATGCTCCAGATACTCAACTAGTCTCAAGAAGGCCAGTTTTATTGCTTCTTTAATCAGCACAACAGTTTTCAGCTGTGGTAACATAATTGCAAAAGGGTTTTCTAATGATCAATTAGCCTTCTAAAATGATAAACTTGGATTAGCAAACACAACGTGCCATTGGAACACAGGACTGATGGTTGCTGATAATGGGCCTCTGTACGCCCATGTAGATATTCCATTAAAAATAAGCAGTTTCCAGCTACAATAGCCATTTACAACATTAACAATGTCTACACTGTATTTCTGATCAATGTTATGTTATTTTAATGGACAGAAAAAGAAAAAAATTATATATATAGTGTATGTACATGAAGGCAGGGTAAAGTGACTAGGCAGCAGGATAGATAATAATAAGAGTAAAATAAAGAACAGAGTAGCAGCAGCATATGCTGTGTGAAAGTGAGTGTGTGCGAGTGTGCGTGTGTAATGTGTATGTATGTTTGTGTTTTGTCGTCTGCATGTGTGTGTGGGCATATGTAGTGTATGTGAATGTGTGTGGGTTTTGTGCGGGAGTGTCAACGTTGTGTGTGTGAGTGAGTGTGTATATTAACCAACAGACATTTACTGAAAACGGTATAGCCTAATAATGTTCTCATTTGATTGTTGTCCCTCGCTCCCTCTTTCTTTATCTTTCTTTCTGAACGACCAGAGCAGTGCTGTCGTGACCCAGATATAGGCCTGCTGTAGTGTGAGAGCACAGAGAGGTGGTTAACCACAAACACACATTTTCACACTCTTCTTCCCCTCAGTGCTCTCTGTTTCCCAGGCCTGTACAGTCTATCACAGTTGAGCTGAGTCCTATAAATAAATAAATAATATTCCATTTAGCAGACGCTTTTATCCAAAGCGACTTACAGTCATGCATGCATACATTATATTTTTTTGTGTATGGGTGGTCCCGGGGATCGAACCCACTACCTTGGCGTTACAAGCGCCGTGCTCTACCAGCTGAGCTACAGAGGACACACACTACTAGTAGTCGTCTACTACTGCAGTGCTTTATATGAATGGAGATAAGGAGGTCTTCCCATGAGCCACTTACCTGGGACCATATCCAATCCCTCCATCTTAACTGACAGGCCTCTCAACACTTGCCAAAAATGAACTAAGGAAATACAAGACATGGCAAGGATCGAAGCCATTTTGAAGATTTGACAAAATATTGTCTTTGTCTATAGTTGCTAGCTCTTACTCTCAATATTGGGCTATTGTGTTATCAAAATAGTTCCTATCACATTCACTGTTTGAATGCATTAAAATCATCGACTGACTTCAGAAGATTATGTCTGAAATTGCCACTTGTACATGAGATAAAAAATTCAGCTTTTTTATTTAAACCAGTTAAATGGTTGTTTACTCCTCTGCAATCAAATTGTATCCCGTTTGTTTTCAGATACAGCTGGGAAAAGGGGAAAATCATGCAAAACAGACGTTAGAAATTGTGTTGCCAGGCAACCATTTGAGGTAGCAGTTGATTCAACCGCTTTTCAGACTGGCTCAATCGAAAGTGTCAGAGTTGGTGTGTGTGTATGTGCTATTAAATTAATTCAACTGTGCAGTAACAGAAAATTGGTGAAGCACGACTCATCTTACTGCTGTGAAATATCCTCATCTCAATATGTACTGTCTGTATTAAATTAAATGTATATTACATTAAGAACATGCTACAGTCTTGGAAATACAATAGGCTACTAGTCACTGCCTGTATGAAGAATCACAATGAAATCCAATCAGTAATGAAATGGTTATTACTACCTATGTACTTCATTCAGGCCTACCCTCCAGCGAGTTTATACATGGTAAAAAAAAAAACAAACACCTTGATGAATTCTTAATCTATATAAAAACTGGAAAACAAAGCGTCACTACAAAATCAGTAGAAATTTATTTTCTTATCAACACTTATCAAAAATATCTGCACAGCATTTTGCATAGATGGATAACAAATATTTTACATGATTGTTAAAACAACTTATTAAAGTGAAAAGTCAAAAGAAAAGAGGGTTTTAGCTAATTCAGGACTTTGGTCACACTGTAGATACTATCAACAAACTATCTATTTCTAAGCAACAGACTATCTGTTGATAAGCAACTGCTTGCTAAGGTTAGGGTTAGGGTAAGGTTTAGAATAAGGGTTAGGGTAAGGGTTAGAGTTAGGGCTAGGGTTAAGTTTAGGGTTAGGATAATGGTAGGGGCTAGTAGATAGTCTGTAAAGCATCTACAGATGGACTATCCAATTAAAGTTTTACCAGGATATTTTACAAACTGTTAATGAGAAAATGCAGCAGACCTACTATTTCCCTATGTACACAAGAAAAAACAGATAATTTAATAACAGGACTAAATTCCTATTGACTGGAATAACTCATGAACATCCTTAAATACATATTTGAAACGAAAGCCTTGGACATTTCAATAGCCTATCAACTCTCTCTCTGAATATATTTTTCTTACATCCAAATAAGATATATTATATCTATTCAATAAGGAATACAATAAATATTGCAAATATATTATTGTAGGTTACTAACCAATTTTTGTTAATCAAATATATTAACCTAATTTACTTAAATATAACAATGAGAGAAAACATTGAACAAATATTTAATAACATTTGTTCATAACTTAAAAACACTGTCAGGGCCATCAGTCTCAAACAGCATGTCAAAAAAAAGTAAAGATATTCCAAGAAAATAATCCTCAATTTCAAAATGTTCCAAGAACATAATCCTCAATTTCGATCAGTTTCTTCACAGATCTGTATTCCATATGGATTGACTCATATGTACTGTACTCAACTATCCACAGTTGACTGATCCTTCCACACAGTACTGTGGAAATCTGAACCTTCCAACCCATCTCTGCCCGCTGTCGCGGATGAGGATGAGGATGATGTCCTGAGCTCCGTATGTGGGTAGCTCCTCCTCTGCTTCCTCTGACGTCACTTCCTTCTCTATGTGACATCAGTAATCCACGGAAAAGTGGCTGGGTAATCCATGTCCAGAATTTCAGAATTCCTAAGCGACAGCATTACCAGTTTTTCCCACTTTCCTCCCAGCCTTCCAGACCAGGTAATCCCAGACTTGGCATTTAGCCAAATCATCTCTCCTCCTCTTCCTCAGATGAAGGTGTACTGGGTGAGGCATCTCTAGACAGTCTGTGCCCTACAGGGTAAAGGTGCCAGGTGAGACGCCCAGGATCAGTTGGCGTACTGGGCATAGAAGGCCACCTTGACGCGCTCTATCTGGTGACACAGCTTGATGGCTGGACCCAGCTTCAGCTCCATACACTCCTGGACTGTGGGCAGGGTCAGCAACAACAACGCCTGGCCATCTATGTCCTGCAGAGAGAAAGAGAGAATACGATGTGAGTGAGTGAGTGAGTGAGTGAGTGAGAGAGAGACAGAGAGAGAGAGAGAGAGAGAGAGAGAGAGAGAGACGATGATGTTAATGATAATGTGAAGAGAGAATCTGTACATCAAACAAGAATGTGTGTTGTTTTGGGGACGTGTGTGTGTGTGTCTGCATGTATTTCGGAGTGTGTGCACTGTGTGAGCACTGTGTGTGTGTGTGTACCTGCTCCTGGAAGATCTTGGCGAGAGCAGCACAGTCAGTGGAGGTGATGAAGGTGACCACGTCGTCTACGGACCACTCCAGAGGGTTCCTCTCCAACACCAGCTGGCACTCCTCCTCACTACACTCCACCTGGAGGACCACAGGACACATGGCCAGAAAGATGAATCTACATACAGGGCCTTTATCGACTGAATATGACATCAGGACGTCATTCACTGACCATACCTGGGGCACCGGCCAACAGGGAGTCAAAAAAGTACTCATTAAATACTAAATCACATCTTCATTAATGTGGGTCTGTGTATGTGTTTGTCTCTGCGTGTAGCATTCTATCTCACCTGCATCTCCTGTCTCTTGGGTGGGTGGTACTTGTTTCCCTGGTTATATGACAGGGACCGAGTGCTCCGCCTCCTGCTTTCAGGACCCTCATGGCTGCCCGAAGCTATGCCGGTATGGGTGGCCCTGCGTAGCGTCACGGCGCGCCGCGGCCGGCTGTTAGCCACCTCCACAGAGGAAGTGTCTGTGTGGTCCTCGCGCGGCTCAGAGCTGGTGCCTTCTTCACTGCCCGACTGCAACATAAGATCCTCTTCATCCTCGTCTTCATCACTGTCCTGTATGGAGTTATAGGGTCAATCTTAGTGCAGTGACAATCAAGTCCATTATAGAATAGAGAGAGACACGAAGAGGGAGAAAGAAAGAAAGAAAGAAAGAAAGAAAGAAAGAAAGAAAGAAAGAAAGAAAGAAAGAGAGAGAGAGAGAGAGAGAGAGAGAGAGAGAGAGAGAGAGAGAGAGAGAGAGAGAGAAAGATAAAGAGAGGGGGGAGGGAAACACAGATAGGAGATATGTATTTGTATTTATTATGGATCCCCATTAGCTGGGGTCCAGCAACATTATGGCAGTTCATACAATTTTAAAAACATTACAATACATTCACATATTTCACAACACACTGTGTGCCCTCAGGCCCCTACTCCACCACTACCACATATCTACAGTACAAAATCCATGTGTATGTGTGTGTATAGTGCATATGTTATTGTGTGTGTGTGTGCAGGAGTCTCCTACAGGAGACAGGAGACTGAGGGCACCAGCATTTACTCTTATACACATGAGAAAGAGAGACATGGAGAGAGCGACAGACAGACCGAAATAGAAAGAGAGAGAGACAGACTGAAATAGAAAGAGAGAGACAGACAGACAGACAGAGAAGCGGGAGAGAGAGAGCGAGAGAGAGATCTGTCAGACCTGTGGTGACCCTGCAGGAGTGTAGTCCACTGCAGACGAGCGTCGTTTCTTCTGGACAAAGATGGCCTTCCTCTTCTTCCTGCGTCGTGTGGGTTTGGCCTCCAGACTCTCCTCTCCTCCAAACGGCTTAGACAGCTTCCTCTTCTTACCGTAGTAATATGCTGGGGACACAACACTCAATACAGTTCATATTGGCTCAATTCTCACGCAGGTTAGCTATTAATTTAAAGGGGGTTTTAATCAAACAAATGGATGTGTGTATTTTCGTGTGTGTATGTGTGTTTTTTGTGACAGACACACAAACTCACACTTGTAGAAAATTACTGTATTTGTTCGCGCACGCACACACCAACCTACAAACATATATGAAGTTGATCTTAGTTCCCATAAACAGAAACCCACACATAAACACACATGTACAGTAACCACACCCTACACACACTTACTGTATTTGGTCTTGGTCTGCATGGCGCAGTTCTCAGGGCACTTGTCTGTGACTTGGACAGGGCTGAAGAGGTTGGGACAGCACTGCAGCTTCATACACACTTTACGACAGAAGTCTGGGATCTGCTCTGCCAGACGCACGATCCGGATGGACGATCGATACGTCTTCCCTTTGTATCTAAGGAGCGAGAGTGAAACATCAGTGTCAGCTCAGGCCAATAGTATTATTCATACAGGACCTTGCACTCAGGATGTTTACGAGGAGCATGCATGTTCTGATGTGGCTTGTCTTGTGACTTTGTAAAATGGGTTCCTAATGGTCATTCCAATCCTGGACGAGCTCCTCCAGGTGGGACTCACTTGGCTTTGAGGGTCTCCTCGTGGCAGTCCCAGTGCTGGTCCTCTACATCCTGTAGCTCCCTCAGGACACGCCCAGGCTTGTAGGCTGCATTGATCAGCATGCTCAGCACCTGCATGGGGACACACAGGAGAGAACTGTGGAAGCTGAACACCATACTGAACACACTTTCTTTAAGACATTTTTTCGCTCTAGTTTTCAAGTTAACGTGACACGAAAACTAGAGAACAACTCAAACCAGTAGAACACAAACACACGAACCTGCAAACACACTCAAATGAGCAAGGACACACACTCACACTAGGGGGTATCTAGGGAAATTAAAGGCTGTTTTTGCTGAGTTACTGCGTGTTTGTGTGTGTGTAAACAGAAATGACTGACAGTTCACATTCAACTGAAGCTGCTGCTGAGAGACTGCAGGTGGTTAACAAGACATTTCCTTCTCTCTCTCTCCCTCTCTCCCTCACCTCTCCAGTCCTTTAATTAGGCATATGCCTCTCTACCTCCTCCAGAGTCTGTTGTTCGTTTTTTCTGATCCCTTAGGGCTCTGGTCAAAAGTAGTGCACGATGTACGGAATAGATTTGGGTGCAGCCAGTAGGTTGATGTACCTCTACCTACCTCTTTGAGGACCAGAGTGCATTTCCCCGGCCCTACAGCCTGTGGCAGCTCAGCGATGCGGCCCTTGTTCAGGTAAGGGCCAGAGAAACAGCGGTGGTTCACATAGATCCTGGAGCAGCAGTATCTCCCATTGGCTGAGCCTGGGGAGGAGAGAGAAGCATCATGGGACATCAGACAATCTGCCAATAACAGACAGATATAAGAACGTCAGGCAGCCTATCAAGTTTAATCTCTTGTTAGACTATATAGAAGTCCAATTAGTGAGAAATAAAATCAGCCCAATTCTGATTCAAGTTTTTACTAATTGGCCTTTTGACCAATCAAATCAGCGCTGAAAAATATGTGACGTAAAATAATCTGATATGATTGTTCAAAAGACCAATTAGTGGAACAAATATCAGAATTGGGCGGCCTGTGTAAAAGCAGCCTAACACTTACATTATGTATGACTTGTGTTATAAAACTCCACTGCACTGCCTTGTTAATGAGGCTTGTATAGAGGTGTGATCTACATAACAATGCAGTGTGATTCCACACCTCAGTTTACACTTTGTTACTCATACACCTGTAATTGCACAGCTCCGGTTGAATAGTGATTAGACAAATTATAAATATATAGAATGGCATGGGGACTCTTATGGACACAACACTGATACACACACACACACACACACAATAAATAAACATAACATTGGCTGTGTAAAATGTTGAGAGGAGTATGTGCTAACAGAAGTGTAATATTGATTAAAATGTAGAGGTTTGTTAGAAAGCAACACTTTTCTGAGACAAGCTGTGAGGTACCAATCAGCAATTGTGAAGCGCAACTGTTAGACAGACGAATGTTGTTTGCTCATCAATAAGAATCTGCTTTGAAACAGGTGTGGCTAATGAACACAACCCAGGTACACACACACACACTCATTCTGTTTACAGGGCTTTTCCATGTTAATCATGATCATCATTAACTCTCATTTTCATCAATAGCTGTAAATAAATCATCTCATATTTGAATTATGAATCTTGTTTACCCGTATCCATGGCAACGGGCTCGCAGAGGTTGAGAGGGATTGTCTCCACGGGTTGGGGCGGAGCCAACCTACAGACAGAATGTCAATCAATCCATGAACCAATCAATCAAGTGAACAGCCAAGCCGTCCAATCACTCAATCAACGATACAGCTATTTAAGACCCTGTCAGCTTTAGCTTAGTGTGATACATGTCCTTCCCCAAACACTACTGAACCACAATGGAAAAGAATGAGGGATATTGATGAATGAGTCCCTTGGGGGAGAGATATGGTAAAACAGGTTAGACGACAGGGGTTGACAAAGTGTTACTGAAAGCCTCATATGTTGTCTCTGAACGACCACATCCCTGATCCTTCAGAGCTACGTTTCCCAGCCGCTACTGAAACATGTCATTTGTCAATATAACAAATCTGTCCGCTGAAAAAAAGGCAATTTCCAAGTGAACAGCTAGCTACTGTTTCGGTGGAAAGGGTATGGTTTGAGAGAGGGGGGCCTTGAGGCTTTTTAAGGAATCTACTTGAGTGTGTTCTCCATCTAGGGTTTTCTATTGTAAAGTATAGGGCGTGCATTTCTGTGGGTGCTGAAATGGCTTGGCAATGCATTGATTTGTTTTTAGAGTGGAATAGCAATCTGTGTGATGGAACTGTTAAAGTGCTGGATGGGGATTTTCAAAAGGGAATGGAATAGTGAGAGTTTTAAATTGGAGTGGTTCTCTGTAGTTTTGGAGCATCAGCGAACTTACTGCTTCTCTGGTTGAACGACGGCTATCTTCTTCTGCTGCTGGCCTACAATCAACAGAAAATAATAGGGTTTGCACTGTGCACAGTGTGTGTGTGTATGTGTGAGAGAGAGAGATGAGGGATACATACAGACAGGCTTCAGTGGTGGAGTCAAGAGGTAGGCATTGGTCTCACACCATCCTACAGGAAAGATGTCCATGGACTCCACATCCACAATACACTCCAGGACGGACTTAGGCAGACCTGGAGAGGGACAAAAGAGCATGGGGTAAGACAGCTGTCCATGCACGCGCACGAACGCACGTACACACACACACACACACACACACACGTCTCACCTTCCAGTCTGAGCCACAGCAGGCGACCCCTGACCTGTGTGATCTGAGCCACACACACCTCGGTGGGCCTGACAGGGTTAATGGCCTCCAGCCACATGTCTTTAGCGAAGCCTCGGCTCTGCCATGCCTACAGACACAGACAGCCAATGGGATAAACAGTAGACATAACAATGGATCCTTCTGACAATTGAGAGGGAATGTTTGTGTTGTTTATGTATAATCATTAATTTAAAAGGTGCAATATGCAGAAATCGCTCCACCATTTCCTTATGTGACAAAACAAGCAGTCATTGTGTACAGACTCATTGTACCATCTAAACCATTGTGGAAAATATTTTCCATAACCAAAAATATTGTATTTTCAGCTGTTTGAAGCTGGTGTACAAAACCTAAAGTAAAAGACGCAAAAACGAAAGTTAACGGGAAGCATATAAATAGTGCAGAAAACAGACCCAAGCATCTTAGACTTGCTTTCAATGAGAATGACAGATCTATGACTGACATTTATGTGAATTTGGTCGGGTCGCCCAAAAAGTGACATAATGCAGCTTTAAGGGGGGTGGGGACAGGGATGACAAGAGGGAGATAGATGGAAATGCAGGAAGGAGGGGGGGGGGGGGGGTGGAGAGAAGGATGAGGACAGTGGGGAGAAGAGGCATTGAGAGAGGGAAGAGGAGCGGGATGGAGAGAGAAGGATGAGGCAAGGAATTGAAGGAGGAAGGAAGATAAAGTATCTTACGTCAGGGAAGCATGCGTCAGGGGCGGTCTCAGTCCCACTTTGTTTCAGGTAGTCTGCCCAATCAAAGTCCTGGCTCAGGTAGCCCCTGGGCCGCTCTAGACCAATCCCGTTCTTTAGACACCACTGGACGGGGAGGATGCCCGGCGACTCAGCATGGCACACCAGGGACAGGGGTGTGGCCTCTGGAGTGAGGTCATCCACTGTGACCTGGAAGTAGTGCTCATTGTAGACCTACAGAGAGAAGAGGAGAAAGAATGATGGGGGCGATATAACCATGGCTTCATTAACACATAGAAACACTTTTAAGGGTATGACTAGGTTTGTTTGGTGGGGTTAGATACAGTTGGCTAAGGTTTGAGATGGTCAGGTAGGCTCACCTGTGTGACAGATACAGGGCAGATGTAGAACGGCTCCAATGGCGACACCATCTCCAGCTTCATCCCCGTCCTGAAGGAGTGTTTGATCAGGTCTGCATGGTCCTGAAACAACCGAGTCACAGTGTAAAACACACACGTTATAATGGTCATTGCAAACAGGCTTTGTTAACAAACACTAAAGCAGTGGGGTTAGGCTATATAATGAAAATATGATTACTTTGTCATTACTTACTAGCCTGCTCAACTGCTCAAATATGCTCTGAGTTAGATCAAATAATGCCTATGTGAGTCTAACTAATTGTCTGTGACAGGTGTATTTGACCTATAGAGACAAATATAGCTAGCTAGTATGGTCCTTTAAAACCCACTGCCATGGAGGCGTGAGGCAATCAGACAGGTCCAGCCAGATCACTGTAGTCTGTATGACAGGTACACACCCAGACTTAAGAGGGGCGTGGGAAAGACAGCAGCTTATCACTACACACCCACCATAAACACACACACCATAAACACACACACACACACTATAAACACACCCACACACACAGATAGGAGCGGAGGTGTCTGAGCCATGTAGCATAAAGATTTTACATTGACATTTTAGTCATTTAGCAGACGTTCTTATCCAGAGCAACTTGCATTCATCTTAAGATGGCTAGCTGAGACAACAACATATCCCAATCGTAGTAAGTACATTTTCCCTCAACAATGTGGCTATCAGCAAATTCAGCGCTATTAGGAAAAGACAAGTGCATCTTTTTTTTTTTGCCACGGGATTTATTTATGATACTCTTTAAAGAGGTAGGGTTTCAGATTTTTCGGAAGATGGGCAGGGACTCCGCTGTCCTGACATTAGGGAGAAGCTTGTTCCACCATTGGGGTGCCAGGACAGAGAAGAGCTTTGACTGGGCTGAGTGGAATCTGATAACATGATATTGTCTGTTAAATGACTGATTGGAACTCAGGGGTTTGACTACATTGATTAAGTGAGTATTTGATTTGTGTAACTGTTTAACCACCAGCCCCACATGGCCTGATAGCACACACAGTAAGAATTGTCATGGGAACTGATGAACCTGCACACCTGAGCAGGCAAGAGTACTCAGGAAGTGGGTTGTGTGTAGAAGCACTTCCTGTGTCACAGGGCTACTTCCTGTGTGGCTGACCCTCACCTTAAACACCTCCAGGGGCAGTGGGTTCTGCTGGGCCTCGCTCCGCGCTGCCTCAAGGGCCTCCTGCCACTCGAGGGCGCTCTTCAGGCCACGCAACTCTGAGACGAGAGAGATGACAGTCAGAGTATAACTCTCAAACTCAGCATCAAATTAAAAGACCTTACAAATCTCTCCCAACTGTTTATTTAAAAGGGATAGTGCAATATTTTGTCTATCAAGCCCTTTTTCTACTTGGCATGCTAGCTGTACCTGTAGACCTCTAGTCATTGTGCTAATGCTAGTTAGCAATGGCTCACGAAACTACCTTTCGCTTCCTTCAAACTGCATGCAGACATAGAAATGGTATCCATGACTTCATCTGACTCTGGGTTAGTAGAAAAAGGGCTTCATTGCCAACATCTCACACTATCCCTTTGAGCAAACCTCTCCCAGTGCTTCCCAAATGTTTATTTTTTTAATCAGATGTCATTTAAAGGAATAAGTCTTACAACCACATGACCCTCCCCTTCCCTCCTCCTCCCACTCTCTACAAACTGGCTTAACTGGTCCTCTGTAGCTCAATTGGTAGAGCATGGCGGTTGTAACACCAGGGTAGTGGGTTCGATCCCCGGGACCACCCATACATAAAAATGTATGCACACATGACTGTAAGTCGCTTTGGATAAAAGCATCTGCTAAATGGCATATTATATTATATTAACTGAAACCTGGGACTGGAGACACTCATATGGATTTCTATTGATCATTTGCAATAATTTGGAGAGGAGATTTCTAACGTTATGTAGAGTTGTACATTTTCCATTTTGTGTTCCAACAGTCGACCAGTATATGTATGTCTGAAGGAAAAATATTATGTGTGTCATTGCAAGTGTGAGTGTGTTGCTATGATTGTGACATTGCGTGTGTTGTGTTCTGTGGAAAGGCAAAGGCGTTTTTTGATACAAAGTCATCAGTTCTGTAGAAGTTGAAACTGAAAGATCTACATCTCGAATATGAACCGAAGCCAAGTTGAGTCATTCAGAGAGAGAGAGAGAGAGAGAGAGAGAGAGCGAGAGAGCGAGACAGAGACTTCATAAGGGGGTTTATGATATTGAACAGAGAGAAGGTAATCTCCCAGCTGTTCTGAATGGCGTAAAACATAGTCATAAAAACGTGTGGGTGTAACATTGATCCTCACTACATCAAGGCCACCATTTTATCCTAATCTATGGCTCTCATGGGATATGATTCATAAGTATCCCCTTAATAAACCGTAAGTCCAATAGAGTTGGAGAGTCCTGGAATGTTGCAGGTTTTCGTTTCAGCCCAGCACTAACACTAACACAGCTGAATGTGACCCAGAGCCCCTCACTCCATGCAGTTATGACCCCGCCCCCTTACCTGCTGGGGGCTTCAGTGACAGGCGGTTCTCCTGAGCCCAGCCCAGTGGGCGGAGCCTCACGTCGAGGTAGAACAGCCAGGTGTCGTGGGCGTCGTCTTGGAGACCCACATGGCGCAGGCGGAGCCTCCCGCCGATGTTCTGGGCGACGCGGGAGGCCCAGTAGAGGGAAGGGTCAGTGAGGTCCCGTACCTCCATCACCGAACCCTCCAGAATCAGATCCACTGTGTTCTTCCCCCTCAGAGGCTGGAGAGAAGGATGTGGAGAGGGAGAGGGAGGGGGAGGGGGAGAGAAAAAGGGAATCGATGGAAAGAATTCAAATCTGTGTGTACAGTGCCTTCAGAAAGTATTTACACCCCTTGACTTTTTGTTGTGTTGTAGCCTGAATTTAAAATAGATGGTGTCCCCCAGGGCTCAGTTCTAGGCCCTCTCCTCCTCTCTCTATACACCAAGTCACTGGGCTCTGTCATATCCTCACACGGTCCCTCTTATCATTGCTATGTGGATGACACTCAACTACTTTTCTCCTTCCCCCCTTCTGACACTTCTGACACTCCATGGTGTCCCCCTCCCAGAGTGCAAAGAACCTTGGCGTGACCCTGGACAACACCCGTCGTTCTCTGCAAACATCAAAGCAGTGACTCGCTCCTGCAGGTTCATGCTCTACAACATCCGTAGAGTACTACCCTACCTCACACATGAAGAGGTGCAGGTCCTAATCCAGGCACTTGTCATCTCCCGTCTGGACTACTGCAACTCACTGTTGGCTGGGCTCCCCGCTTGTACCATCAAACCCCTGCAACTTATCCAGAATGCTGCAGCCTTCCCAAGTTCTCCTATGTCACCCCGCTCCTCTGTACACTCCACTGGCTTCCAGTCGAAGCTCGCATCCACTACAAGACCATGGTACTTGCCTACAGAGCAGCAAGAGGAACTACCCCCTCCCTACCTTCAGGCTATGCTCAAACCCTACAGTTTTCAACCCCTTGGTAAAAAAAAGAAAAAAAGGCAGACATTGAATATCCATTTGAGCATGGTGAAGTTATTAATTACACTTTGGATGGTGTATCAATACTGTACACCCAGTCACTACAAAGATACAGGCGTCCTTCCTTACTCAGTTGCAGGAGAGGAAGGAAGCCGCTCAGCGAGGCCAATGGTGACTTTAAAATAGTTACAGAGATTAATGGCTGTGATAGGAGAAAACTGAGGATGGATCAACAACATTGTAGTTACTCCACAATACTAACCTAAAGTACAGAGTGAAAAGAAGGAAGCCTGTACAGCAGGGTTCTTCAATTCCGGTCCTGGAGGGCCGAAACACTTCTGTTTTTTATTTCTACCTGATAGTTAATTGCACTCACCTGGTGTCCCAGGTCTGAATTAGCCCCTGATTAGAAGGAGAGGATGAAAAACAGAGGTGTTTCGGCCCTCCAGGACCGGAATTGAAGAACCCTGCTGTACAGAATAAAAAATATTCCAAAACATGCATCCTGTTTGCAATAAGGCACTAAAGTAAAACTGCATCAAATGTGGCAAAGAAATTAACTATATGTCCTGAATACAAAGCATTATATTTAGGGCAAATCCAACACATCACGGAGTACCACTCTTCATAATTTCAAGCATGGTGGTGGCTGCATCATGTTATGGGTAAGCTTGTCAACGGCAAGGACTAGGGAGTTTTCTTTTTTTGATAAAAAGAAACGGAATAGAGATAAGCACAGGCAAGATTTCTAGAGATATTCTAGAGGAAAACCTGGTTCAGTCTACGTTCCAACAGACACTGAGAGAAAAATTCACCTTTCACCAGGACAATAACCTAAAACGCAAGGCCAAATATACACTGGAGTTTCTTACCAAGACGACATTGAATGTTCCTGATTGGCCCAGTTACAGTTTTGACTTAAATCGGCTTGAAAATCTATGGCAAGCCTTCAAAGTGGCTGTCTAGCAATGATCAACTATACACATTTTTAAAGAATGTGCAACATTTGTACAATCCAGGTGTGCAAAGCTCTTAGAGACTTACCCAGAAAGACTCACAGCTGTAATTGCTGCCAAAGGTGATTCTAACATGTGTGAATACTTATGTGAATGAGATATTTCTGTATTTAATTTTCAATACATTTGCAAACATTTCTAAAAACATGTTTTCACTTAGTCATTATGGGGTATTGTGTGTAGATGGGTGAGAGCAAGAATTTTGAATTTAGGCTGTAAGACAACACAATATGGAATAAGTGAAGGGGTATGAATACTTTCTGAAGGCACTGTATGTCTGATTTCCCCTCTTTGAGAGGGAACTGGTATTATCTGGGGTGAAACCTCAGCTCAACATACAGAGCTCAACAGATTAGCTAAAGCTCTAAATGTGTTTCTCTATCTCGTTCTCCGTCCAACGCGCACTGAGACAGTACTCACCCCTTCCAGTAGGTTTGCTGGTGCGGTCCGTGAGCCAGTCAAGTCCTGGATGAGAAAATCTGTCCAGTCACTGTACTTCTCTTTGATGGCTACAAGACAGAACAGAGAGAGAGATAGATGGTCAAATATACTGTCCACGCAAAACCCTACATGACTATTAGCACCAGGCTAAGCAGTGAACAACAGTGGAAAACAGTTAGCTACAGAACACTGCAGTATAGAGCAGTCCACATAAACAGGTGTTTAGAGAGATACAATGGGAGTATGGTAGAATAAGGCAGGCATGAACGAACACATGTATCACCCTCTCCAGAGCCATTTAAACGGCTGGTTCCTGCTCATTTGCATAGGACATGTTTGTTTACTCCACTTTCTGTTTCCCACAGTGCAACAGTAGTGATGTATAATTCATGGTGCATCGTGGGTCTTGATTTGACTTTGACTCCACGCTGACTAGTGACTTCCCACAGGCATACACAGGTCTACCAAAGACAGTACAGTATGAAGATAGGCAGAAAGTGCTTCTCCAATAGAAATCCCCGAACACACTTGTAGGCGATGTCATGGCGACATTGGCTAGCTAAGCTCATGCATAGAAACATGTCATGGGGTTTAACGGTCGTCTCGCACCGAACTGCGCATGTGCAGGCCGTCAAATCAAACGCACTCCTTCGATATAAAGTTGTTTTCCACTAAAATGTAAACGTTTCAGTTTGTCAATTTCACAAGGTTGGAGTAATACCATGTTCAACTACTTAAGACATTGGCTCGAAACTAGGTTGTGCTTTTAGTTTTCAAGAAAATTAACAACTAAGGCAGAGGTGTCAAACTCAATCAGCACAAGGGCCATATTGAAAGACACTGCCATTTGGCGTGCAGCACATTGGCAGTGCTTGCTGTGACTTGTAGTGCAGCGCATCGCGGGCTCTATGGAAGCAGGCCAAAATGAATTGACAACCCAAGTCATTGCATAATTGGCCCAGCGTCGTCCGGGTTTGGCCGGTGTAGGCCGTCATTGTAAATAAGAATTTGTTCTTAACTGACTTGCCTAGTTAAATAAAGGTAAAATAAAAAATAAAAAAATTGTGCAGGCCTTGTGTTTGACACTTGTGAACTAAGGAATCATTTTTTACTTCTCTCATTGACTTCTCAACCCCCCAAAACCGGCCTGGTCTGCTTGGTCTGTTTCACAATTGTTCCCAGAAGTCTTGCGATGTTTAGAAACTCTGTGGTTCTACTAAGTCACACATCTCTCTCAAGCAAAACTAGAGTAATCTATTTTTAAATGACAAATTATTCACCCCTCTCCAAATACATCTAATACTCTAGGTTTACAGTCACTGATTGGACGCAAAGATTCAGAGAATATCTGACTCACTGGGGCAAGTTGAAATGAGTCACCGTAGAATGACAAGTGGCCAGCAGTAGCCTATATCATGGAGGATTACACTGCTATCTGTTATTAAGCCAAGCCACACTTAGAAAACAAATAGAATAATTCATTCCTATGGGAGAGAACAGAGGTATTTTTCCCTCATTTTATATTCTCTCATTAGTATATTCTTCTGAAGCCAGATGAGACAGATTTAGAGAAAGTCAATTAATTTTCCTACAAACAAATCTGTCTCGGGACATGGCCGATCCCTTTTTCCATACATGGTGCAAATACAGTTACAAATAATGTCTCTCTGCCCCAGTACATCTCTCCACCACCCCTGGTTAATAATAGTGTTTTTTCCTGTCAGAATATTTTCTTTCCACACACACGGTGCTCCTGATGATCTCCGGTGTGCAGAAATAGATAAACTATTTTTACAGATCCTGCTAGATTAGTCATCAAGCCATTTAGAATAGGCCACAGAGCAGAATGCAGGCTGCTCCTTCGCCATCTGAACTTCAGCCCCTCCCCCTCTCTCCCTCCCTTCTTTTTCTGTTCTACCTCCTCGGCTCCCTCCGGTCCAGAGTGTAGTTACAGTACTAGTTTGCATGTAAATAATAATACAATATATATATATATATATATATATATCTTGCCCATCCTCCAGGCGATAGACTGAGGCAAATCCTGACTTCCACAAAACAATAACTGCATAATTTACTTTGAAGAGAACCCCCTCTCCCCTTTTCGATTTTTCGTCTTCTCCCCTCCCCCAATCCTCTCCTCTCTTTTCTCTCTCCTCTCCTTGATTTTGCTATACTTGGAGACATCCAAACAAATATCCACCATACAAAAAATATCTGATTTGCATATCCAACAACAAGACATTGTGTAAACAGACAGTGAAGGCTAATTCAAAAGCTTATTTAAGATAATCAAAGTGATTATTAAAAAGAACAAGTCTGGCCTGTATCGTGGCAGGGAGGGATGTTTTTATATGTGATCACAGCAGTACAGCAGATTCTAATCAAGGCTAATGGGACCAAATTAGACTATTTATTCTCAGTCTAACTCACAGTGCTTATCTAGTCATTATTATTACAGTGGCATTGTAAACCACACTATCTACTAAGTCTCCAGGGGATCCTGTAAGACTGAATTAATAGTATAACCATAGACCATATATCAGGGTTTAATATCTATGAGTGTAACAATCTAATAATTTACTGCTAGTACATACAGTGAGGGAAAAAAGTATTTGTTCCCCTGCTGATTTTGTACGTTTGCCCACTGACAAAGACATGATCAGTCTATAATTTTAATGGTAGGTTTATTTGAACAGTGAGAGACAGAATAACAACAAACAAAAATCCAGAAAAACGCATGTCAAAAATGTTATAAATTGATTTGCATTTTAATGAGGGAAATAAGTACTTGACCCCTCTGCAAAACATGACTTAGTACTTGATGGCAAAACCCTTGTTGGCAATCACAGAGGTCAGACGTTTCTTGTAGTTGGCCACCAGGTTTGCACACATCTCAGGAGGGATTTTGTCCCACTCCTCTTTGCAGATCTTCTCCAAGTCATTAAGGTTTTGAGCCTGACGTTTGGCAACTCGAACCTTCAGCTCCCTCCACAGATTTTCTATGGGATTAAGGTCTGGAGACTGGCTAGGCCACTCCAGGACCTTAATGTGCTTCTTCTTGAGCCACTCCTTTGTTGCCTTGGCCATGTGTTTTGGGTCATTGTCATGCTGGAATACCCATCCACGACCCATTTTCAATGCCCTGGCTGAGGGAAGGAGGTTCTCACCCAAGATTTGACAGTACATGGCCCCGTCCATCGTCCCTTTGATGCAGTGAAGTTGTCCTGTCCCCTTAGCAGAAAAACACCCCCAAAGCATAATGTTTCCACCTCCATGTTTGACGGTGGGGATGGTGTTCTTGGGGTCATAGGCAGCATTCCTCCTCCTCCAAACATGGCGAGTTGAGTTGATGCCAAAGAGCTCGATTTTGGTCTCATCTGACCACAACACTTTCACCCAGTTCTCCTCTGAATCATTCAGATGTTCATTGGCAAACTTCAGACGGGCCTGTATATGTGATTTCTTGAGCAGGGGGACCTTGCGGGCGCTGCAGGATTTCAGTTCTTCACGGCGTAGTGTGTTACCTATCATTTTCTTGGTGACTATGGTCCCAGCTGCCTTGAGATAATTGACAAGATCCTCCAGTGTAGTTCTGGGCTGATTCCTCACCGTTCTCATGATCATTGCAACTCCACGAGGTGAGATCTTGCATGGAGCCCCAGGCCGAGGGAGATTGACAGTTCTTTTGTGTTTCTTCCATTTGCGAATAATCGCACCAACTGTTGTCACCTTCTCACCAAGCTGCTTGGAGATGGTCTTGTAGCCCATTCCAGCCTTGTGTAGGTCTAAAATCTTGTCCCTGACATCCTCGGGGAGCTCTTTGGTCTTGGCCATGGTGGAGAGTTTGGAATCTGATTGATTGATTGCTTCTGTGGACAGGTGTCTTTTATACAGATAAGAAACTGAGATTAGGAGCACTCCCTTTAAGAGTGTGCTCCTAATCTCAGCTTGTTACCTGTATAAAAGACACCTGGGAGCCAGAAATCTTTCTGATTGAGAGAGGGTCAAATACTTATTTCCCTCATTAAAATGTTAATCAATTTATAACATTTTTGACATGCGTTTTTCTGGATTTTTTGTTATTCTGTCTCTCACTGTTCAAATAAACCTACCATTAAAATTATGAACTGATCATTTCTTTGTCAGTGGGCAAACGTACAAAATTAGCAGGGGATCAAATACTTTTTTCCCCTCACTGTAAGTACCCCATTGTTTAACCAGGTGGGTTGTTGACAACAAACTACCTTCTAGAAAAAAAGCCAAAACATGCAGGTGAATGTAATTCATAGTCAGAAATGTAGCTCAATAGTCACTGAATAACAGCCAACAGGACAGACAGACACCTCTCTGTTCTGATAGGCTAAATCATGTGTAGGTGTTTTACGACGGGGGAGACGCACTAGCTTGTGATGATGTTAACCATTAACGTAAAGCCATGTTGATGAGAAGTCAGGAGGGAATAAGAGACAGGCATGAAATATGAATTAACTCAGAGACGTGTTTACAGTAAGTGCGGTGAATTTACTGCCCCCAGGACATAAGGGGTTTAGAGTGTGTATGAGGAGTGGGTGTGTGTGTGTGTGTGTAGGTGGGGTGGGGCATTTGTAAATTGCTGCTATAATGACATGCTTGGCTAAACCTAATAGCACCTGGCTAGGTAGAGAAAAAGACTGCCCTCTAAAAGACTGTCTCACACTAAATACATCCAGCACTAGTTATATAATCATTCTGAAAATGGAGACAAGCAAATGAGATTGGGATATGGGACTACACCCATCCACACCATACTACACACACACACACACACACACACACACACACACACACACACAAAGCAAATACAAAGCTGTTGCAAATCAGGTGGTGGAGATGGGAGGATTGGTAATTTGGGTATCAAATCAGTCCTGGCCTGCTCTTTCTGAGTGCCTTGTGTTAACTTGGCTCGTCTTTGACCAGGATGATGCGTGTGTGTAGTCCTTCCTGCCAACTAAGGATTAACTCATGCACTATTAAGGACAGAGGCAGGTCACACACACACACACACACACACACACACACACACA